GGAGGGATCAGTACGTCCGCCACCACGGAGGGATCAGTACGTCCCCCACCACATAGGGATCAATATGCTCCACAATTTGTGGCCACAACCCCATGTATGATCCTCCACTGCACATCAGCTGTGTGCTTCTCTATGGGAGGCTTGTACAGGGTCTTCCAACAGCCCGAGAGAGAGAGAAAGAGAGAGAGAAAGAGAGAGAGAGAGAGGGCAGAAATAGAGTGTTTTCAGAAAGGGGGCAAACAGTGGCCATTTATTGTCATGCAGGTCTGAGCGTATATGACAGCTGATAAAAGCGGAGGACAATAACAGAGAAGCGGCGAGAGCGGCTCTGCTGATAAGGAGTGTCAGTCCAGCTGGCCGCGCAGCGCGCAGGCAGGCAGCTAATAAAGGGGCGGTAATGAAAGTGCGCAGGCCGGCGCAATCGTAAAGGAGGGCGAATTAGCCCGTATCACAGGCACACGAGGAGCCAGCGCCCCACACGCCAGATATCAGCCTAGCTAAGAAAGTGTCAATAACGGCAGACTGTACAAAGGTGGCGGGAGGCGGGGGAGGCGGCGGGCGGGGGACGGCGGGGGAGAAGGGCCAAAAAGCCAGAGAGATGTAGGAGAGGAACGCTCAGCGTGGGCTTCATGGAGGAGATAAAGCCCAAAGTAGACCCCGGCCTCTCAGAACCAGAGGCTCAGTCTTACTTTTCATTTTATTTGATTGGACTGGAACACAGCTGAAAGATTCCTTTATATTCAGAATTTTTTTCTGGGATGGAGTTTCCAGCGGGGGTCTGTGAAGGAGCCGAATCAGCCGATTTAGGCCCTGGAAGAAATATTAAAAAAAGGAGCCCCCCACCCCCCCAGGCCCCACCCCAGACTACGGGGTACAGCTTCTGTTCCCTTATAGAGACTTAATTCAGCGTATTCTGATTTGAGTTTCCAGTCAGACCCAAAGCAGAGCATCCCAAATCCAAACAGACTTTCGTTTTATCTGGGTGAATATTGTGTAAATGTATCTACAACATCTTCACGAGCATAATGGAACACCACAGCTGCCTCACACACCCTATGCTAAATTTTCTGCTACTCCGTGTAGAAACATTTCTAAGCAGGAGCGTTAGCCAGCGTTAACCTTAAGCTGGCGTCATTGTGAGCGAGTGCCGAGTAAGTGCTCTGAGGGAGACTGACCGTGCTGTCCAGTCCGAGCATGATGATCATGAGGAAGAAGATGATGGCGAAGAAGGTGGCGGCAGGCATGTTAGCGATGGCCTCGGCATAGATGATGAAGAGCAGACTGGGGCCTGTGGGGAGGCCAGGAACAGACCATGGGGGAGGTACGAGGAGGAACAAGGTCAAAGGGAAGCACACAGCAGCAGTCCTTCGTGGACTGATTACAATTCCAGGTCGGCTTTAAAGGGCCCCAGATGCATTTTCAAATTTTGAAAACTCCACAAAATATGTTTTGAGCTGTCTGACTGTCTGACTGTGTTCCTGCGCTCGGCTGTGTGTCTGACTGATCTGTGCACGGCTGTGTGTCTGACTGATCTGCACTCGGCTGTGTGTCTGACTGTGCTCCTGCGCTCAGCTGTGTGTCTGACTGTGCTCCTGCGCTCAGCTGTGTGTCTGACTGTGCTCCTGCGCTCAGCTGTGTGTCTGACTGTGCTCCCCCGCTCGGCCGTGTGTCTGACTGAGCTCCCCCGCTCGGCCGT